GACGGTGGCCGGTAGATATGTGTTAGGCGGAGTAACAAGTGGCGTCCGTCTCCTCGGGCAGATTTTTAAGATTGAGCGTGAAGGCGAGAGCCAGCGCTATAAGCCATTCAAGCAGCTGCGGAACCGGCGGCTGCTGTGGCACGGATCCAGGACCACCAACTTCGCCGGGATCCTGTCGCAGGGGCTCCGCATCGCCCCGCCTGAAGCGCCCGTGGTACGTGCCTGGCCCGGGACGCGGGGGCGGGGCCTCGTTTAAGGGTGGGCTTGGGCTCCGCCACGGCCGACAGGTGGCCATTGCCAGACCCTGAGCCCCGCGTTTGACTCTCGGGAGGAGGTGAGAGTAACGGCCGACGTTATGAGGCGTTGACACGCGCCAGGCACTGAGCTGAGCGCGCACAGACTCGTTGGATTTTCACAAGAGCCCCGTGAGGTTCTCGCCCAGTTCAGAGGAGAGGAGAGGGGAGTCCGGAGGGATATGTAGCGGCCCCGCGTCCCTGGTGCCTGGCCCCGGTCGGCGGTGCTCCGGATGTCGGCTGGCAGGTTTCAGTGTCCCTTTTCGAACCCTCCAGACCGGCTACATGTTTGGTAAAGGGATCTACTTCGCCGACATGGTGTCCAAGAGCGCCAACTACTGCCACACGTCCCAGGGAGACCCCATAGGCCTGATTCTGCTGGGAGAAGTTGCCCTTGGAAACATGTGAGTGAGCCTGGCCTCGGGCGGGTCTCAGAACTCCCTTGGCCACCACGACGGGGGAACCGGTTCTGGCCGAGTGAACTAGGGAGGCCCAGGAGCGCCTCGCAAAACCCAGGATCGGGGATCCAGCCCGGCCTCGGGAACCGGCGGCGCCTACCTTCCTGTGCCCCAAGAAGCCGGGCTGGCTCGCGCAGACGATGATCACCCTGTAGTGCGCACACCCCAGCGGTGTTTAGATTTTTCGTCCAAGTCCATCCCAGTTTCAAGTTCCCCGCAGAGAAAATCTGGTGGGTCCCGTGTGGGTCGGGCGTCAGCCTTGATCCTGCGGATGTCACACGGAAAGCAGGGTTCGGTGATGAGCTGGGGGCCTGGGGATCGTGGCCCGGGCAGAGAAGCCTCGAGAGTGGCCGGCCGCGGCTCTAGACAGACCCTCTCCTTCGTAGTGGCCCCGGAGCCGTGGTCGCGGACGCGGTCGACGCACGAAGAGCACACCCTCGCTTTCTGAAGCCGGGCTGGGAGGGAGCTCCGGCGGCGAGGGCGCGCTGGGTTCTCGGGGCGCTTGTCGGTTCTCCCGTGGCTTCCCGCCGGTCAGACTGTTGGGGTGGGAGCCCTCGGGCCGTGGAGGCCGCTGACACTGACCTCTCCTGAATAGGTACGAGCTGAAGCATGCCGCGCATATCAGCAAGTTACCCAAGGGCAAGCACAGTGTCAAAGGTAGGGTGGCTCAGAAACTGCCCCGGGCGCCTGGGACACCACCGGGAGGGCGCTCTCTCCCCCCAGAAGGCTGTGTTCCCGTAGCTTGTTGTACAAACTCCGCTCACGCCCTGTGGCTGGCGTCACAGACGGCAAAGGAGGGTCTTGGCGCGGGCGGCAGCAGGCAGGGGCATTGGGTTCTGACCTGACTCCGCTGCGGCTCGAGGGCGTCTCGTGACCTCTCATCACGCAGTGGGGCTTGGGGCGTCTTGGATCGCGCGGCTCGTGGCCCCTGCTGATTTGGGGCCTCCACCTGCCAGGCGGAAGCGACTGCAGTTCTGCTCGGCGGAAAGAGGATCCGGGGGGCGGGGGGGCCGTTCTTGACCTGAGTAAGGCTCGTGCCCCGGGAACGTGGCGTGTAACCTACAGGCTTCTCTATCCAGAAGGACAGAGCACGGGATTTGCGTGTGGCTTTAAAACGAGCGCATAGAGCCAACATAACGTGAACCGCCCTCTCCTGGAAACATTTTCCGCCTCTGTCCTCACAATCCGCATCACTCCGGCCTTCTCTGCAGGTTTGGGCAAGACGACCCCCGACCCTTCGGCTAGCATCACCATGGATGGCGTAGAAGTTCCCCTTGGGACGGGGATCCCGTCGGGCGTCAACGATACCTGTCTGCTATATAACGAGTATCCTTTTCCGCGTGGCCGTGGGCCGCGCCGTCCGCGCAGGGGGCAGCGGTCCCTCACGCACCCAGCGTCCCGGGCGCAGCCTGACCGGAGACCCTCCGGCCGACGTGCCCTCGGCGGCCTGCCCTGGGGAGAGAACGGGCGCTCCGCACCCGGGGGGCCTGGTCTGCGGGCTGTGACCTTGGCAGCCGCGGGCGCTCGCTCCGTCGTGAGACCGTGTGCTCCTTGACGCGCCCCCTCCAGGTACATTGTGTACGACGTCGCTCAGGTAAATCTGAAGTACCTGCTGAAGCTCAAGTTCAACTTCAAGACGTCCCTGTGGTGAGCCCGGGGACGTGTGGCCGAGGCGCAGCCGGGGGCGGGGGCCGGTGCGCCCCCGCTCGGCGGCCGAGAGCGCGAACCTTCCTAAATCCCCTCAGAAAGGATTCTCTGTGAGCGTTTGGTCACGTGTGAAACGATGTTCCTAGCTTTTCAAACCCCTCGTTTGTGTGGGTCTGGGGGTGGGACGGGCGGTGGGGTCCTGCCAGCCAGAAGCCGGGTGGCGACAGCTGACGATACACGAGAGGCTGGGGCCAGGTATTCGTCCAGACTAGTCCCGCGGGAAGAGCCAGGCCCGGTCAGAACGTCTGCCTTACTGGTTTCCCCAGGGGAGGAAAGAATAATCTTCCGCCACTTCTAAGCGTCTGCCTTTAGTTCGGGTTTTGGAAAAATGTTAAGCGTTTATTTTGAGGTAAAAATAAAAACTAATTTCATACTACTTAGATTTTCTTTATTTTGCATCAATTGCCTTTTTTTTTTTTAGACCTTTCTCCCCC